CAGATACACACATGCATATATAAAGCAAATATTTACAAGGAAGCTGAGAATGGTTTTCATAATGTTTCCTTGTAATTATATCAATTGTGTTCTATCCAAATCTACTTGAGTAACAAATCTCCGCCGTACATATTCTGGAATGACTTTCTTTCTTTAGGATAGACTACAGCAATCCACTCCTGGACATATATCTCTCAAGCCTCTTCATATCTTATGTTAATCTCAATCTCAATCTAGTTTTATATCCTCCCTCCTTCCTGTCACTTATTCTTCCATATCCTCTTCTGTCTACCCCATTTTCTCCTTCCCACTAGTGAATCCCTCCATGATTTTCTTTAACCTTCTATTGTCAGAGTCTGGATAAATGTCCTGCTAATTTCTAATTCATTCCTGCTCTTATTTTTAAGTATACCTCAAACTCTCGGCTTCCTCCTCATCTCCTCATGCTTAATTATATCTTTTTATATGATACTCAGCATTTTTCTCTCCGTGATTGGGCCAATACTCCGAGATAAATTGCCAGGGAAGTCTACAAACTCTAGCTTGATATAATATACCTGGTGAGGCTTTGATGGACTTTACCAGACAGTCAATTGCACAGAGGCCAGTAGCAGATGAGAAAGCACGGAGTATAAGCCTAAGATTAATGGATATGTAATGTAAACATTTAGCTACCATATATAGCTAAACAATAAGAAGTAAAATTGAGTTACCTTTAGAAATTCAGTCTCTGACTGAGCATCAATGGGTGTTGCATCTATCAAATCACTCATATTGGAGAATGGCTGGCCTAAAGGAGATGTTTAGCGGAAGATGAAATTCTTAATACCCAGGACAACTGAAAAGAGAGATGCAAAGATATGAAAATGTTTATCATATTAAAACCCAATGAAAACTTGATATATATACACTAAACTGTACCATATACAATTGCGACATACTAAAAATACTAAATAATAATATCTTAATACTATATGGAAATTTCTAAATTCTTTTACTACTACAGGGAAAATTATAGGTAGTCATATACTATGTTTCAAAAACACATCCTACGCAAAAGATAATATTACAGAATCATAGAATACATGTGCTGGTGAATTTTATTATAACCTGCAATTGTGAGTACACATAGCAAAAGGTATTTCATGGTGCTTTAAGGATGCAGTGAAACTGAAATGCACTGGGATACTAAAATTACAAAGCAAATTTATCTAGATCAATAGCAAAAAAGCTTTAATGAGGCTGCCTTTGTGAAATATCTAATTTTAAAAGAGAATATTATAAATCAAGAAATAAAGATCACACATTGAAAAAGAAAATGCCCTTCAAAACCTTATAAAAAAAAACTATTAGCTACAGAAAACAATAAGATGTAAGTGAAGGTAAAGACGCAATCAATAATATACCCACAGGACTCAAGCTCTCACTGAATCTCTGGCATCTCGAGTAAAAGGACAACAAACCTCCACCATGTAGACTACCCTAGTGATCTGCCATCATTTTGGAAAGCAGTCCATGCTCTATTTTGCTGAATATATTTGGTGGAGGATTCCTGGTGATGAGGCCACAGTGATCTACTAGTCTACTGGCCTACTAGTCTCTGGTGGATATAGTCCTAGGTTCAAGGTTTACAGGGGATATAAAAAATTCTTTGTAGTGTTAAATATCAAGGAAATAAAAAATTACTGAGCCACAGTGCTGCAACACAACACACACAAGGGAAAAAAGGTAAATGTGGTGCTTTGCAGAATTCCAGCTGCAACAGTATCACAGTACCTTCTAGGACAGTTTAGTAAAGATCACCATAATTATTCATATATTAATGGTACATATACGATGAAAATATCCAATAGGTAACTGGTGGGATATTCTCAACCCTTCACTGCAAAACTGACAGAAGTTCTGAGCAGGTGTACATTCATTAAAATCAATGCAAATTCCTGCTTACACAAAATGAGCAGAGACAGGGTGGAATAAGGAAAAACAAGACATTCTAAGGAATACACTTTTTTCATTACAAGGAGTGTGCCTTCACCCTCATTTTCAGCCTACAAAAGCACGGTAACTGAAACCCCTTGTGCAAAAATTGCCAATATAACTTACCTTTCACACTGATAACGAGCCAGTACACGTCCCCACTATTTTTAAGGCCTGTCACTGCAATTCCTGATATGAATTTGAGATGACAGCACACAACACTGTCATTTCCCGGCGTAACTCGCGAATACCAAAACCCACAATTTAACAAAACTCAAGCAACAGTATTATATAAACCGGCGGTCAATAATCAGTACCCAAAAAATGTACAAGGAAACCCGTCTTCTGCTAACTATAAAGGGAGACTAAAAGAACAAGAGGCACTGGGCCATGTTATAAAGGCGAAAGGATGAGTTTAATGACGAAATGTGCAAGTTCTAGACAAGGAAATGATGCAAGTGCAATGATTACGTGTAGTTTCGTGGAATTAATTTCATACCAAGAGCGATTGTTGATTAGAGTG